GAAGGAAGAAAGGAGAGAAAGAGGGAGAGAAAGAAAAAGGGGGGAAGGAAGGAAAATTAGAGAAGGAAGGAAGGAGAGAAGAAAAAAGGGAAAGAAGGAAGGAAAGAGGGAGCGAAGGAAGGGGGGAAGATGTAGAGAAAGAGGGAGGGAAGGAAAGAGAGAAGGAAGAAAAAGGGAAGGAAGGAAGAAAGGGAGGAAGAAGGAAGGAAAGAGGGAGTGAAGGAAGGAGGGAAAGAGAGAAAGAGGGAAGGTTGGGCACAGCAATGCGTGGCAGGTACAGCTAATATATATCTGATTCTAGTGAATCCATGCCTTCAAATGTCCCGGTTGACCAGAAACATTTATTTCCTGGTCCCTAATTCTGGGAGAATCCTTCTCATGCAGCTTTGATTGTGGAGGAAAAGAGAACATGCCCCCAAATAATATATTAATGCAATGCTGTCCATCATACAAAACTTAAAAGCCTAATTTAAGGCGATATTTTTTATAAGACCAAACAGAAGGTGCATAATTTGTCACACCAGTCTTTGGAATCAACGTTGTGAGGCAAAGATGATAATGAAATATCATTCTTAAGGTGGTAAAGTTTTCTGCTGACATTAAGTCCAGTTGTCCGACTGTGGGGGGTGGTGCTCATCTCCGATTCTAAGCCGAAGAGCCGGTGTTGTCCATAGACTCTTCCAAGGTCATGTGGCCACTGGTATGACTACATGGTGCGCAGTTACTTTCCTGCCGAAGCTGTACCTATTGATTGACTCACATTTGCAATTTTTCAAATGACTAGGTTGACAGATATCATTCTTAGACATTGTAATTTTGGGTTTTGCTATTAACATTTCATTATCTGGCTCTTGTTATATCAACATAAACAAAAGTAGGGGGGCAAAGCAAAAGCCTCATAAAACTACTATAAAAGTTGAAGAAATGTGAGTGGGGATGGGTAAGGAAACAGATATCAATACAGCTTGATTGTACTACGTATTTCATTAAAAATTAATTGAATTGATTTGCATTTTAGAAATGACAGACTTATCACCCAACAAAAACATGGATTCATCCCTTTTCACTCAGTACCCCAAAATCTTGGAATTGCCAACCTGAATATTTGAGGACTCCTCCTTTCTTTTTCATAAACTTCGTTGTTTCCCAACATTTTCAAAGTATAATTATCTTATATGATTTGATTAGATGTTTTGGCCTATTCACTTTACATTGCATTTTCTGTAAAAATATTTTACACAATTGTGCTGTACAGTTTATTACTCCTTCCTTTCCTTATCTTTACGCATTTATTTTGGACTGTATGCCTTTAGCACAGTGGTTCTCAACCTGTGGGTCCCCAGGTGTTTTGGCCTACAACTCCCAGAAATCCCAGCCAGTTGGCCAGCTGTTAGGGTTTCTGCGAGTTGAAGGCAAAAACATATGGGGACCCACAGGTTGAGAATCACTCCTTTAGCAGAACCCGTTATTTTACCTGTAAAGCATGGTGCACATTACTAGCACTATACAAATAAATGAGGATAGTGATAAACTCTTCCATCAGTCATTTAAACCCCTCAATGACTGCACTATATTTGAAATTTTAAAATTTTTCCCTCATATGCTGTTTTTTAAAAGGACAACCGTCTCCCCTTGTCATTCTCGACCCAAAAAGAATCCCTTCTCCAATAAAGGGGGAGGGTAACTATCTCTCACTCTGGGTTGCTCTTGACCCCAAAAATACCTCAGAGAAGAGCCCGACCCCATATATATATATATATATATATACACACACACACCTATCTACCTATATATGTATAATAGTCATATATATCTTAATTAAAAGATTTCCCACAGATGTTTTTAAAAAGATGATTAACAAGCCTTCCATTTATACACACACATACATACACATATATATGGATGGATGGGTACATTGAGGGGCTTGTTAATTGTGTGTGTGTATATATGTGTGTGTGTGTTTATATATATATAAACAATTTTATGTAATGTTTATAAAAAGGGGGTTAACGAACATTACATTTTTATTTATATAGATGTGTGTGTGTGTCTGAATTAAAGTACTTCCCACATATGTTTATTCAAAAGCCCCCCTCATTCTACCCCAAAGGGCCCTGAGGAGCCCTCATCCTTGGGATCCCTCTCCAAAACAAACGGGGCCACGTTTTAATTAATGAAGGCAACTGGGTTGTTGTAGTTTTTCCGGGCTATATGGCCATGTTCTAGAGGCATTCTGTCCTAATGCTTCACCTGCATCTATGGCAAGCATCCTCAGAGGTAGTGATGTCTGTTGGAACTAGGAAAAAGGGTTTATATATCTGTGGAATGACCCGGGTGGGACAAAGGACTCTTGTCTGTTGGAGCTAGGTGTGAATGTCCCAACTGCCCACCTTGATTAGCATTTGATGGCCTGACAGTGCCTGTGGCAATCTTTTGTTGAGAGGTGATTAGATGTCCTAGCTCCAACAGACAAGAGTCCTTTGCCCCACCCTGGTCATTCCACAGATATATAAACCCATTTCCCTAGTTCCAAAAAACCTACAACAACCCACATCTCCGGGTGGTTGTAGGTTTTTTAGGCTATATGGCCATTGTCTAGAGGCATTCTCTCCTGACGTTTCGCCTACATCTATGGCAAGCATCCTCAGAGGTAGTGAGGTCTGTTGGAACTAGGAAAAAGGGTTTATATATCTGTGGAATGACCAGGGTGGGGCAAAGGACTCTTGCCTGCTGGAGCTAGGTGTGAATGTTTCAACTGACCACCTTGATTAGCATATAATGGCCTGACAGTGCCTGTGGCAATCTTTTGTTGAGAGGTGATTCGATGTCCTAGCTCCAACAGACAAGAGTACTTTCCCCCACCCTGGTCATTCCACAGATATATAAACCCATTTTCCTAGTTCCAAAAAACCTACAACAACCAACATCTCTTTTTCCTTTTTTTGTGGGACAAAGGACTCTTGTCTGCTGGAGCTAGGTGTGAATGTTCCAACTGGCCACCTTGATTAGCATTTGATGGCCTGGCAGTGCCTGGAGCAATCTTTTGTTGAGAGGTGATTAGATGTCCTAGCTTCAACAGACAAGAGTCCTTTGCCCCACCCTGTTCATTCCACAGATATATAAACCCATTTCCCTAGTTCCAAAAAACCTGCAACAACCCACATCTCTTTTTCCTTTTTTGTCAGTGGAATGACCAGGGTGGGACAAAGAACTCTTGCCTGCTGGAGCTAGGTTTGAATGTTTCAACTGATCACCTTGATTAGCATATAATGGCCTGGCAGTGCCTGTGGCAATCTTTTGTTGAGAGGTGATTCGATGTCCTAGCTCCAACAGACAAGAGTACTTTCCCCCACCCTGGTCATTCCACAGATATATAAACCCATTTTCCTAGTTCCAAAAAACCTACAACAACCAACATCTCTTTTTCCTTTTTTTGTGGGACAAAGGACTCTTGTCTGCTGGAGCTAGGTGTGAATGTTCCAACTGGCCACCTTGATTAGCATTTGATGGCCTGGCAGTGCCTGGAGCAATCTTTTGTTGAGAGGTGATTAGATGTCCTAGCTTCAACAGACAAGAGTCCTTTGCCCCACCCTGTTCATTCCACAGATATATAAACCCATTTCCCTAGTTCCAAAAAACCTGCAACAACCCACATCTCTTTTTCCTTTTTTGTCAGTGGAATGACCAGGGTGGGACAAAGGACTCTTGTCTGCTGGAGCTAGGTGTGAATGTTCCAACTGGCCACCTTGATTAGCATTTGATGGCCTGGCAGTGCCTGGAGCAATCTTTTGTTGAGAGGTGATTAGATGTCCTAGCTTCAACAGACAAGAGTCCTTTGCCCCACCCTGTTCATTCCACAGATATATAAACCCATTTCCCTAGTTCCAAAAAACCTGCAACAACCCACATCTCTTTTTCCTTTTTTGTCAGTGGAATGACCAGGGTGGGACAAAGAACTCTTGCCTGCTGGAGCTAGGTTTGAATGTTTCAACTGATCACCTTGATTAGCATATAATGGCCTGGCAGTGCCTGGGGGGAATCTTTTGTTGAGAGGTGATTAGATGTCCTAGCTCCAACAGACAAGAGTCCTTTGCCCCACCCTGGTCATTCCACAGATATATAAACCCATTTTCCTAGTTCCAAAAAACCTACAACAACCAACATCTCTTTTTCCCTTTTTTTTTGTCAGTGGAATAACCAGAGTGGGACAAAGGACTCTTGCCTGCTCGAGCTAGGTGTGAATGTTCCAACTGACCACCTTGATTAGCATTAGGAATAACTGGGTTGTTGTAGGTTTTTTCGAGCTATATGGCCATGTTCTAGTGGCATTCTCTCCTGACGTTTTGCCTGCATCTATGGCAAGCATCCTCAGAGGTAGTGAGGTCTGTTGGAACTAGGAAAAGGGGTTATATATCTGTGGAATGACCAGGGTGGGACAAAGGACTCTTGTCTGCTGGAGCTAGGTGTGAATGTTTCAACTGACCACCTTGATTAGCATTTGATGGCCTGGCAGTGCCTGTGGCAATCTTTTGTTGAGAGGTGATTAGATGACAGAAATAGGAGTCCAATAGCTCCAACAGACAAGAGTCCTTTGCCCCACCCTGGTCATTCCACAGATATATAAACCCATTTTCCTAGTTCCAAAAAAAACTACAACAACCCACATCTCTTTTTCCTTTTTAGTGGGACAAAGGACTCTTGTCTGCTGGAGCTAGGTGTGAATGTTCCAACTGCCCACCTTGATTAGCATTTGGTGGCCTGGCAGTGCCTGGGGGAATCTTTTGTTGAGAGGTGATTAGATGTCCTTGTTTGTTTCCTCTCTGTTGTGGTGCTGTGGTAGGCAACTATCTGACTAATTAAATACATAGTAATTAACTGGAATATCCCCGCCCCCCTCACATACTTTTGGAAAGATCAAGGCCTCAAGTTTCCCTTCTCCCCAAAAGTCCCTCTCCCCACAAATAAACAAACCAAATAAACAAAGCGGCAATCACCCCCACCTTCTTGGCCCTCTTGCCTTCCTCCTCCATCTCTCAGGCGGGGCCCGGAGGCGTCATCTCGGCTCCTTCCCCGCCTCGGCCTCCGCCTTCACTGCGCCGCCATCGCCTCCAATGGAGCCCGACGCGGACAACTTTTCAATCCTGCCGCCATCTTGGGCGTCGGCGTTCCCGGCGTGCACCGCGCGCGCGCTCGCCAGCTTTGGCTCCCACTCCATTCAAGCTCGCCAGGGAGGTCGAAGGATGACGTCAGTCCTCCGTAAAGCGAAAGGGACAGACGAGAGGAGCACGGGCACAGAGCGGTTCCGTCGGCCTGGGAGGGGGCCCGGTGCGCATGCGCAAATTAGCAACTTCCGGTCCCCATTCAAAAAACATTACCCAGGCAATTTTGACTATTCATTTTTAAATCCACGTTCTGTGTTTATTGTGATTTAACTTTTGTGAAATGTATTTTTTAGATCTCTGCATTTTTTTAAATATGTGCTTTTAAGGAATGTATTTTAGTAGAATATTGATTTATTATTAACTTTATTTATTGATAAATAATAAATTTATTTATTAATAAATTGTTTAATAATAAATAAATAATAATAGAATAATAACAATACATAATGTTATAGTATAATGGATGATAATAACAATATATAATAATATAATATAAAATCATACCTAATATTATAGTATAATATTATAGTAATAATATAACGTGCAAGTTCACAAATTGTGAACTTGCACGTTACTGTTCCTTGTCTATCTTTGCTGCTAAGTAGTATTAAGAACGTAATATAGCACTTTAAGGCGCCTGCCTCTGCTGCTAAACTATACTTGCACTTACGCCCCTTCCCGATCCCTCCTTGCCGCACTTTAGTTAACGGTGAGGGCCAGACCCAGGTATTTTGTCGCACTTTAAGATCATTGCACTTTATGAATTGCCCTAGTGGCACGCAGCCGTGGAGCCTACTATTGTTGCACGTTAAGACTCCTGCACTTTATGTACTATCTTACTTTCGCGGCTGAAACGTTCACTACTCTTGTCCACTACCAATCTTATTGAAGTGTATTGTTATCACCCATGTGGTCCCCCACTTTTCTATTTATACTGTCCTTGATATTAGTGACTAGTGGAAGGAGCAAGGGTAGAAGTGGGCTGGAGCCCGTGGACAACAATGAGGTGGGGAGGGGGGAGAAAGAGAATCAAGGTAATTGGCATGGAAAAACGCCAACAAACCAAACAACTAGTGAAACAGAGACTAAGACCTTGGTTTCGGATTGCGGCATGGAGGAGGGGAGGTGTTCCACTAGCCGAGGGGCCCCCATAGAGGTCGTGGTGGGAAGGAGGAGATGCGGAAAAAGGAGACATCGAATTCGGCCTAATTCGGACCACTTATCTACATTAATAACCCCAAATCGGTCT